CAATGTCATTCTTTCTGATGGAGGCATAGAATTCCACTGTGTATATATATCACATTTTCTTGATCCATTCATCTACTGAGGGGCATCTGGGTTGGTTCCATATCTTAGCTATGGTAAGTAATGCTGTGACAAACATAGTTTTGCTTGTAGCTTTAGTGTGGTCTTGTTTGCGATCATTTGGGTAAATGCCCAAAAGTGGGATTGCTGGGCCATAGGGGAGCTCTATGTGGAGTCTTTTGAGGAACCTCCATACTGCTTTCCAAACCACCACATTTTCTTGATCCATTCATCTACTCAAGGACGCTTAGACTCCAGTCCATCTCTTAGCTATTATGAACAATGCTGCAATGAACATGCGAGTGAAGAAATCTCTTCCACCAGCTGATTTCATTTCCTGTGGGTTTGTATCTAGCAGGGAGATAACATCTTGTGAGGGTGCTATTTTTAATTCTTTGCTGAAGTTCCAAACATTTCCACAATGGCTTTACCAATTCGTTTTCCCATCAGTCTTGCACAAAAGTCCCCTTTTCTCTCTTCATATCCTCACCCACACTTGGCATCTTTCTGTTTCTTTCAGTGATTCTGACAGGCATTGGATATCTTGATGCAGGTTTTCCACTTCCCCATTCATTAGTAAAAGTGAGCATTAAGAAAATAGCAATTGGTCGATTTATGTCTTTTTTGGATTAATGTCTATTTGAGCTTTTACCCATTTTAAAAATCATGGCTAATTGACCATTTCACTTCGGCCCCCAACTATTTGTTCCTTGTATATTTTGGATACTAACCTCTTATCAGATAAGTGTTTTTCTAGTATCTTCTCCATTTTCATAGATTGTCTCTCCAGTCTTAGGTTTTCTCATCTTTGCTTTTGTCTCCTGTGCTTTTGGAGTTTTGTCTCTCTCCTTATGTTTTCCTCTGGTAATTTCACAGTGTCATATCTTATGTTTAAGTCTTCAAGCCACTTTCATTTAACTTGTGTGCATTGCAGGAGATATGGATCTAATTTCATTCTTTCTTGTGTAGATATCCAGTTTTCCCAGCACCGTTTGTTAAAGGACTACCCATTTTCCCATTGTGCATTCTTTCCATCTGTGTCGAAACTCAACTGATAATAAGTACACAGACTTCTGTCTGGGCTTTCAGTTACGTTGTATTGTTCAATGTGTGTTTTATGTAGTTACCTTGCAGTTGTCTTGCTCTAGCTTTTCAATGTAGTTTGGAATTAGACATCATGATGCCTCCATCTTCGTTCTTTTTTATGATTACTTTGTCTCAGGAACATTGTGGTCTCCTATAAATTTTAAGATTTTTTTCTTCAATTCTCTTTAAAGTCCCATTAGAATTTTGATAGGAATTACAATGAACCCATAGGTTGTTTTAGGTTAAATAAGCATGTTAGTGATAGTTTTCTAAATCATGAACCCAGGCTCCTTTTCTATTTATGTCTTCTTAAGTTTCATTAATACTGTTTTATAGTTTTCAGTGTACAGATCTTTCACATTTTCCTAAAATTTCTTCTAAACATTTTATTTTTACAGCTACCATAAATTAATATGTTTTATTTTTTTCAGATAGCTTAAGTGTATAGGAACAACTGAGTTTTGTATGCTAAATTTATATATTGCAACTATACAGAAATCATTGGTTCTAGCAGACTCTGTGTGTGTGTGTGTGTGTGTGTGTGTGTGTGTGTGTGTAATCTTAAGGGTTTTCATATATAAGAACATGAAGTCTGTAAATAGAAACTTTTTTCTTTTTTTTGGGTCCAGGCATGGGGCCTGAACTCTGGGCCTGGGCGCTGTCCCTCAGCTCTTCAGCTCAAGGCTAGCACTTTACCACTTGAGCCACAGCGCCACTTCCGGCTTTTTTCTTTTTGCTTATGTGGTGCTGAGGAATCGAACCCAGGGCCTCATGCATTACAAGGCAAGCACTCTACCATTGAGCCACCTTCCCAGCCCTAGAAACAACTTTTTTTTTTCTGGCCAGACTGACCTAAGAATTCTAGTACCTGTTGAATAAAAATGACAAGAGTAAGCATGTTTATTGTCTTGTTCTTCATCCATGGGAAAAGCTTAAAGTTTTCTATTATTGAGCACCTTTTATTTGTTGGTTTGTAATCTGTGATTTTACTGTGCTGAGGTACATTCTCATTGAGAGTTGTTATTATAAAATGACATTTAATTCTGTCAGACTATTTTCATGTAACTATTAAGATAACTGTATGGATTGTGTCCTTCATTCCGTTGATGTGGTCTATCACATTTACTGATTCGCATCTGTTGAACCATTCTGGCATCCCAGGGATCAATTGCATTCAGCTGTGGTGACTGCCCTTTTAATGTGTTTCTGGATTTGTTTGCTTCAATCTCTTTACTTGTTTCTAATCTGTTGATATGTTAAAATTGTTCTTAGTAGACTGTATATTTCTAGAAATGCATCCATTTCTTCTGGGTTATTCAGCATATTTATGTGTAACCATTCCTATTCTGTGCTTATTTGTATTTCTGTGATATCCGTAACAATGCTTACTTTTCACTTCTGATTGTATCTAAGTGCTCTTTCTTTTTTCTTAACTAACACAGATTTATTTTTTTATCTTTCAAAAGAACCAAATAAGTTTAAGTGATCTTTTCTATTTTTTTATATTTTCCATTTTATTTTATTCTGATATTTATTTATTATTTCTTTCCTTTTGCTAATTTTGGTCTTAGTTCTTCTTTTTTGTAATTTTTGTTAGTATGTATTAGTTATCTAAAGGTAAATTTTATTGTCACCTTTCCATGCATGTTTATAATGTATTCCAATCGATCTTACCCCCTGGGTTATTCCTTCCTCCCCCTTTCTAAAACAATTTCAACAGGTCTCATTGTTCTGCTTTTGTATGTGAAAGCAATCTGTTTCAACCCTGTTGATCTTCTCTTGTTCTCTTTGCTATTTAAACCCCAATAGTCTGTTTTCCCCCGCCTTTCCCAGCCTCCTATTGATGAACAGCTTTCACTGAGGTTCTTCATGGTGTTTCCAGATACAGTGTATTTAAATAGTATTCACTTCGTCTCTTTATCCTCCTTCTAAGTGTTCCTTTAGTTAGATTCATGGTAAATACACATACACAAATCTCTATCTATCTATCTATCTATCTATCTATCTATCTATCTATCTATCTATCTATCTATGTCTATGGAAACAATCTAAGAAGAGCATAAGAGAACTAGAAAAGTAATGTTAAACAACAAGAAAAGGCAAATGCAATGATGAGACCTTGCTTAGGAGGTTTGACTGCGTAGACTGGGGTGTCCTGAAACTCACGAGCTTCAGCCTCAGCATCCTACATGCAGATATTACAGGCATGTAACACCGTGCTTGGCACCAACTGTTGCATTTTTATACCATTTTTCTGATATAAAAAGCCAAGTTCTTCTCAAATGGTTCATGTCTACTTTATAGATTATTTCAAAACTATTTCCAACAAGTGCCAGAAAAACCTTCTCTGGATTTTCCCTTTCTTACCTAACTAGCATTTACTTCTATTTTTGCTCTGTTTCCTTGGGAGGCTGCTGGAATTATAAGTGTTCCCAGGCATTCCCCAATAACTGGAATTTACTCTCGGATTTTGTGTTAAATACAAAGCAAGTCTCTCAAAAGCCTGACCTTAGGTTGGGACTGATAATCAAAGGAAACCCGATCCCTGGGGTGTGAGCCTGTTCCTGCGTTGCTCAGTCTGGGATGTCCACGGGTGAATCACGCCGGCTCCTGTCTCCACACTGTCGCTCATGGAAGGGGTGACCTGCTGCCCCTTGGCAAGTGCGGTTTCGAAGCTGCCAACATCGCTCCTGCAGTATCAACACCCCAACTTCAGGGGGAAAGCTGTGGTGAATTTCTGGAAAGCAAATAGGAAGTTGTTTTTCTAGGCAGCCTGACAGCAAGGGGAGGCAGCAAGACTATAAAGTCTGGGTCGGATAGGAGGCAGAAAGCCGGAGAGTCACAGAGGAGATGGTAAGTTCATTGTTTTTTCTGTTATGGGGGCCATGGATGAATTGAAGAGGTTGGGGGCTGAATCAGGAAGAAAAAGTTGCAAAAAAGAAATGGTAAAAGCCACAGCATTTTACATCCAATAAACTGCTGAGGTTTGCTGCTGCTGCTGGTGGTGGTGGTGGTGGTGGTGATGGTGGTGGTGGTGGTGGTGTTGTTGTTGGTGGTGGTGGTAGTGGTAGTGGTAGTGGTGTAGTTGGTGGTGGTGATGGTGTTGTTGTTGGTGGTGATGGTGGTG